AGCCGCGCCGCGTGCGAGGCAAAGCCGTCCTTATACTGACACCAAATGTCTTCGGGGGAAGCTGCAGGCGCGGGACGCTGGAGGGGGAGGCGCGGAGGCGACAGACAGGCTGCCGGCGGCTGGTGAGCCCCCACCCTCTCTGGAGGGCAAGAAGCCCCAGCTGGTGGCAACCCCCTTAAAATTCAGGGTCGTGCCTGGGGAGTGAGCTACCCCCTCAGCAAGGAGGCTGAATCATGTGAAAAAGGGAAGGGACCCCATTACCGACTACCCCCCATGTCTAAGGTGCCTGTTGGCCACCTTACACTCTGGATTCTCATGGAGATGCTGTGAAATGCCAGGGGTGGGGCCCCCACTGCTCCGGCGAGGGGCTGCCCCCCAAGGCCACCAGCTCTTACATGGTGGAGCCGGGCTAACTCCACTCCAATGGTTTCTCCAGGGCCCAGGCAGCCTCCCCACTTCTCACCCACACTAATGTGTCTTCTCAACCTTCAAGGCTTGGCTGAAAGACCACCTCCTCCAAGAAGGCTTCCAAGAGGGCTCCCAAGTGGAACAGATGCCTTTTACTCCAGCTGCGAAGTCCCCAGCCTCACCCCTTCCCTGGGCAGGCAGCCTGGGCCACAGGAGCCTGAGAGACCAGGGACCTCAGCTCTCCTAGCATCCCCCTAGCAGAGCTCTCCTAGCATAATTAAGCCTGACCTTGTAGCCCTACTAATTCCTTCCTAAGTAGCTAATGGGCTGTGGGAGGTAGCAAGCGTTGCTTGCAGGCTGGGTCTTTTGTGTTCTCATCCAGGCACGGGAGATCCACCGAGCCCCAGCTGTGTTCTCTTGTCTGTCTTTTCTTCAATCCTTCACCGCCCCTCCTCAGGTTCACCCTGGGCCGTGCTGGTGCAGCACAGAATGGAACCAGTCTAAACAATGCTTAGCACCAAGCCTGGCACACAGTAGGTGCTCAACAAACATTTCTCCTGTCCTACCTTTTATAATCTGTCCAGGGAGACACGGCAAACCTTTGTCACCAGCCCACAGTGCCAGGTCATGTAAGCGTGCTGGAGGCTAGGCGGTATCTCACAGGTGTGGACTGAGCAGGCCAGAAGGCATCCACAGGTGGGATGGGTTGATTTCCAATCAGAGTGGGCTTCAGACCAGGAGTCATCAGGGAAGACCTCATCACAGGCCAGAGGCCTACACTGTGCCTTGAAAGCTTGTGTAGGGTTGAGATAAGAGGGGGGCGGGGGGAGGAGGGGGTACTTTGCATCCACTAGAAGGAAGAAAGGACATAAGCAAAGGCATGGAGGTAGCAGTAAGGTGACACGGGCAGGCACGCCATATCCTGACCAGCTGAGTGCCCTGCTAGATAGCCCAGGCCTGGGCGCATGAAGCATTCTGGCAGCAGGGCAGAGAGGAGATGGAAACCATTGCTTTCTCTCCATTCTCCTCAGACAGCGCTTTCATAAAGTTCAAAAGGCTGGACAAGACTTTGAGAAGCCACCAGATGGTGAATTCTCAGGACTGGATCCTCAGCTACAGCCTCCCCAAGTGGCCACCCAGCCCCCTGCTTGCATACCTGGGGTGACGCAGATCTCACTACTTACTGGGGCAGCTCCTTTGTTCTCTGGGCATCTCTGATCATTCAAAGGTTTTTTTTTTTTTAATTTAAGGAGGACTCTGCCCCCCCACCCCCATGATCCTAGTCCCTTCCCTGTCCCGGCAGGACTAACACCCTCTCCCCAGCCTTCTTCGAGCATCCTCACTGGCAGGAAGTCCTGCTACGTGTCCAACCTCAATGCTTTATGCTTCAATTAAAGCCTTCATTGTCTACTACTTCACTCTTATGCCCACCACACCCCTCAGCAAGGAGTGGGCTCTGTGGACACAGAGGGTACAGACAGGTTAAAGGTCATGAGAGAAGTGGGGCGAGAGATGATGCTCACATTCACAGTGGGGTGGGATGCAACTCGAGGTCTCAGCAAGAAGCAAGGCTGCAGCAGTCCCTCCCCGGGGCCCTTGCTGGCTGCAGGAGCTTCATGTATTCATTATTGCTATTTATATTGTGCCTGGTATTTGCAGAGGCTGCGGCCGCCACACACACTCATTAGGCTCCGTCATGCCCTGGGAGCAGGGGCCTGCCAGGAGGTGGGCGATGGGCCTGTCCTGGAATCCCCTACTGCACCCACCTGGCCCCTGGGCCAGGCTCCTGATCCCCTCCCCCAGAGACAAGGCCCAAGCAGGCAGGCCCTCATTCACTACTTCAGCAGCGGCTGCGCAGAGCAGCCCAGGCCCGGCCTCAGTCTGGAGAACTTTCTAGCAATTGTAATGTCCAGAGGGATAAGTGGGCTGGGACTGATGAAAGCTGGGGCAGGATTCCTGCCCCGGGACATGAGATGGGGTCCCTCCTAGGCCTGAAGACCCTAAGGTCACAGAGACAAAGATCCCGGCACCCTCAAAACCCACACTGATTTCTTTCTCAAACACTTACCAGGTGTTTATCTGCACCAGGCCCTGGTCTAAGCCCCTTGACAAATATTAACACATTTAATTGTTTTCACAATCTTGTAAATCTCTTTTCCAGATGAGGAGCCATTGGCACAGAGAAGTTAGGGAAGTTGCTCAAAGTCACACAGCTAATAAAAGGCAGCGCTGGGATTTGAATCCAGGGGGCCTGTGCTCTTAAACAGGCTTCTGGGTTTTAAGATTCAAAACTCTAAGAGTCAAGATTTCCAGGATTCCAAAGTGGCAGGGTGGCCCCCACTACTAGAGGAAGGAGGGGCCTGGCCCGAGACACCCTCACATGGGCCACCCCGACCCGGTGAGAGCGTGTTCCCCCAGGGCCTGGAGAAGGACTACTCTCAGCCCCAAGCAGCACCCTGGATGCCCAAGAGCCAGGCCCTGGGAGCAGCCCATGGAGATGGGAAGGAGAGGAGAACGTGAATAGCAGAAAACAACTCCAGCATTCCAAACGCTTTCATTAAGCATCTACCAGGTATCGGGCATGTGCCAGAGCTGGGGGACATTACCAGATGGAAAAGTACAGAAGTGCTGACTGTGGGTGAAGCAGGGAGGGGATCTAGAGTCAGATCAGAGGGAGGGCGGGCCAGACACTGGGCAAGTCAGCCAGTCCATCCCCCAACAGGCAGAAGCAAAGGGCAGAAGCAGAGGGGCCTCTGGGGACCCTGGCCTTCCTCCAGAGTGGCTGCGGTGACAGGAATCCGGCCCAGGCAGGAGAGTGGGGGTGCAGCGTCTCACCTAGCTAAGCAGCAGGGAGCACCCCTCCCCCCTGCCAGGTGCCCTATTACTCCATTAGCCCACTTAACCCTGGCAGAGTCCTGGGTGAGAGGTAGCATGAAGCTCATTTCACAGATGGGAGAGCCAGAATCCAGAGAAATTAAGTAAATTGCCTGGGGTACACAGCTAATGAGGGGCAGAAACAGGATTCTATGCCAGAGGGAGAAAGAGGGAGAGACAGAGACGGGGAGAGAGAGAGAGAGAGAGAGAGAGAGAGAGACCAGGAAAGGAAGCTGGAGATGGACAGAGGGGGAAGGGACAGATCTCAGGACCCCCAGGTTCCTGCCAGGTAGGAGGCCCAGATTCTCAGCCAAAAGAGGCAGTTGATGGCCTAGAAGCTTCCTTGGGGGGCTTGGACCATCCAGCCTGGGGGCATCTGGACAGGGCTGCTAGGTGGCCAACAGTCTGCCAGTGGCGAGGGGGGCATGGAGTGACAGCAGGTTTATTCCAGCGTGAATGTCAGCGAGGAGACCGACCGGCAGGGGACTGCCCAGACGCCCACCCAGACAGAAACTGGCACTTGACAGTTGGCACATCATCTCCTTTGTGCTGCACCTCACAACATGCAGCATGCGTAGACGGGTATGCAGCAGGCACTGAGTATTTGCTGACTTTTTATTTTTTTAATATATTTTTTATTGATTTCAGAAAGGAAGGGAGAGGAAGAGAAATAGAAACATCAGTGATGAGAGAGAATCATTGATTGGCTGCCTCCTGCATGCCCCCTACTGGGGATCCAGCCCACAACTTGGGCATGTGCCCTGACAGGTTATGGAATCACCACCTCCTGGTTCATAAGTTGACGCTCAACCACTGAGCCACGCTGGCCGGGCCTGAGTGTATTCCTTAATGTCAGGGCTCCAGTCATTTCCAGATCCCTTTTACTGATGAGGAAATTGAGGTCAGGAGAGGTGATATGACATGCCAACAGTCACCCTAGGTGGTCACTCAGTGACACACATTGACCACCTACTATGTGCCAGGCATTGAATACACAGAGATGAAGGAAACTCAGTCCGGCTGGGACACAGCCATGTGTAGACAACCGAGGTTAAGCACAGCAGAGAAGTGAGGGCCCCAGGCAGGGCCAGACAAGGAAGGCTTCACACACACTGACCGAGTGAAGGCTTGGAGGGCAGTGGGCCGATGACACCTCTCCTGATAGACCACGGAAGGAAGGTCATCCCAGGAGAGGCCAAGCCGGCAAAGGCCCGGGGTGTGAAGGAGCAATGGCTTGTTGTGGGAACAACAGGATGTCCCGTGTGGCTCTGAAGGCCAAGCTCGGGAAATGTGCATGGGAGGCAGCAAGGTCAGGTCTGCTGAAGAGGCCCTACTGGGTGCAGCCTGAGAGCCAACTGCAGAGGGCAGCGTGC